ATCTCATAAGACAGCCTCAGAATTTACAAAGCATCATTCCAACCACATTCTCTTGACTGGAACAAATTGGGAGCAGCCCAGAATCAAAGGAGTTAAGCTAGAGTCCACCTCTTAATGGAGAAATGACAAGGGCAATGGAAGATATGGCATGGCCATTTTAGTAACACATGGGGATTTTCGGAGGGGGTGATGGATTTGTCATGGAAGAAGACATGAACCTTGAGGGGCAAGGTGTTATGGGTTGAACTGTGTCCCTCCCTAAATTCACAACCTTCAGTAACTCAGAAAGTGGCCTTATTTATGAATAGGGTCATTGCAGATATAATTAGCTAAGACAAAGTCATATTGAAGGAGAGTGGGCTCTGTTCTTATAAAAAGGGGACATTTGGACACAGACATGCTCCAGGGGGAATGCCATGTTCAGATGAAGACAGACATCAGAGCGAAACAACAGAAGCCAAGAAATGCCAAAGACGTCAGCAAACCACCAGAAGATAGGAGAGGGGCCCAGCCCAGGCTGTCCCTCACAGACTCAGAAGGAACCAAGCCTGCTGACACCTTGATCTTAGACTTCTGGTCTCCATAACTAGAAGAATAAAGTTCTGTTTAAGCCACCCAGTCTGTGTACTTTTCCTGGCAGCCCCAGGAAACTAACACGAGCAGCCCTGGGCCCTTTGTTGAGCCTCTACCCTGGTAGGTAAAACAAGAATAGCAGAATTCCCTTCAGTTGGAATCCTTTGAATGCTTCAAGGATCCAGGCTAGAAGTAGCAGTATTTGCCCAGAAAAGCAAACACTCAAATATTTTCTTTTCTGAGGCAGTTTCTGCCACCTTTTATTCCCAAATTTCATGTAGTGTTATCAGGAAACAGGGGTGTGTGTGTGTGTGTGTGTGTGTGTGTGTGTAGTGTTTTCCCTCTAGATCACAAAACATAGCCATTCTCAGTGACCTACATTGGAAAGACTTTTTTCCTTGGCACTACCGATATTTTTGTTTTAATGCTGTATGTTGCGGGACTAGTAATCAGATCTCAGTGACCTCTTCTATAGAGAAAACTCCGGAAAGCTGGGATTAACCAAGCAGATGCCATTCACACCCAAATCTCTAGGTACACAGGTAACTGTGGTCAATGTCAATTTTGCAAAGAACGGGAATTTCTGGACTGTTTTATTCTGGGTTCCCAGGTAGCTGCTTCGCTAGTTTACCAAAGTACTGTAGCTACCTCATACCAGTACAACCACTCAGACTCCAGTATAGATGCTGGAATGCCTACGAGGAGATGACGAAGATAGATCTGTCTATGGAGGATTGAAATGTGAGCGTCTGCTCTAATGGCACCAAGAAGAATTAGACTCATCAACTGTAGTGATTCATAACGACGGCTGTTTGCTCTTAGAATATTAAGGGAATCAACCACCCACTTAATGGCCATCTCATAAGACAGCCTCAGAATTTACAAAGCATCATTCCAACCACATTCTCTTGACTGGAACAAATTGGGAGCAGCCCAGAATCAAAGGAGTTA